TGTGCAAACAGAGAACAAAGAAGGTTCCTGTACAAGAGCTTAAAATCTGAAGGTAATCTTAAAATTGGGTTGGGTCAAGGTTTCCTCACTATCTCCAAACTGATGTACAGTCAGATGTAGCTGAGTGATTCGTTGAGCTTTCCAGGCCCTACAGGCTTCTGAATGGCCACCCATCCAAGCTGTAGGAAAGGTGATGTACATACACAGAAACCTGTTCTGGCACGTGTTTGAAATGTTAGCCCAGCACAGCAACTCTTCCTCTTAAGCAAAACAGCTTTTATTTTGTTCTGCAGAAATGCCTGAGCAACTCTCCTTCTTGGAAACAAACAGCAGATGTGTTCTGCCATGGTTCTGGATCTCACTCTGACCTCCTAGCAGCTAAGGAATTGCTTTTCTGCAAGAATAGGTTTAAGTAGTTAATCATGAAGGTCTGCAGGGTAATCTTGGAGGAAAAAATAATGGAAGGAACAAGGCCTTATAATATTCAGTACTTCAATTTAGCCATGTATTTATCTTGAGGATGCCAGGATACAGGGTTGCCAGTGTGTAAATTAGATCCTAGATGTAGGTTTCTTCAAATACTGACTTGCTAAAAGATGGACTGAAGGTAAGAGTTTAAGGAAACTTCACTTTCTTAGCACCCTGTGGTTTTCCAGACTCAGGCAGATACTCAGAGACTGTGCTTGGAGCTCTGTCCTGTCAGTGCCTGGCACAGAGCATGCCAGAGTTCACAAGATAGTGCTCATTCTGTGTGGAAATTCAAAAGGCACCTCTGCTTCATGGTCATTCTCTTTTCAGCAGTCATACCTTTGCCTTGACAATGACAGATTACAATGAAACCTGATAAAAGGAACTCTTGAGTCAAACATACCAGTGTCTAACCAAGTTGTCACCTCTACCAGGACCTGCAGCAATCTAAGGGAGGGTGCTGGGAATAGCAATAATTCTGTTCCTGCTAAACAGAGGAGGGGCTTTGCAGGATGCTGAACAGCCTAGTTCATATTCTTTCTGAGGAACTTTGGATTCTGTTCCAAGGGAATATAATGAAGGTCTTAAAGGCTCTTGAGCCACTTTGTCCCTGATGTATGCAGTGTGCCATAAAGTATTGGTGAGAACCCTCTCACAGGTGCCTCTGCTCTGTTCTCTGCCAGAAGTCACAAACCTGTGGGGGCTCTAGGTAGATATCTGGCATCTCATGAAATAAACTGCTAGTTTTAATTGGGGTTTTTCTTTTTGCCACTATGCAACACAATTCTGTAGAAGAAACAGAAGGCAAAGCAGAACTAGAAGATAAGAATGAGAAGACAGGCATAAACATTAGTGTTTTGATTACAGGTGGCTTGCTGTAACAGTGTAGGTCAGGAGTTGGGAGCCAGTAGCAAAGAAGAGGGAATCCTTATCCCAGGACAGGATTGTCCAACAACTGCCCAGGTAGGAAGAAGCTACAAGTCAGCAAAGCATTCATGACTTCACTAACCCCAGAGAGCCAGGGGGAATTACTCCCTGTGGATACTATCAAAATATTCATCAATATCTAGCATTGTGTTAATTTGCCATGGAAAGTACCATAGCAGTAGGTCCCCTGGTGCAAGCACCGAGGGTGACAGGCAGGATAAACCAGGCTGGAAAGGTGGGAGAGATGGCAGTGTGACTGAGATGGAAAGGAAAGGTGGGGTGCAAGGCTTAGCAGTGACATGGACAAAAGTGGATTACAAAGCTAGAGGTAGGCCCATAGGAGGGGTGTGTGTGTGGAGAAAAGGAAGGGTGGGACGAGCAGAGTGGAATAGGACTCGCAGGGAGTTAAGGTCTTGAAGTAGGTTTGAATGTGTTTTGTGGGATGAAAAATGCTGTGAAAGGGTCAAGTGCATGGAGCAGTGACCCACAGCAGGTCACCATGTGCTTCTAACCCTCTGCAAGCCCAAAGTGACATCAGCATAACCTGCAGAGAAAGATGGTTAAGCTAAAATTTATCTTGTATTTGCAAGGAAGGAGTTTGATGCAGATGTTGGTTCCCACAGCCTGACTTGGTCACAGCTTATTATGTGGCAGCTCAGCCTTGTGTCTCAACCTTCTGATGTCCAGCCCACAGTCCACGTGGAAGGATGCTCAGCATACAGGACAGGTTCTGTTGCCAAACTTTTACATCATCATTTGGTTTCAGGGGACTGCCCCAGCTCCAGTCTGTGTTGGCTCAGGGATCTTTATGCTCTTCCTTGCTGAATGTGAATTACTGGCAAAGGGAATTGTGGCTCATTTTCAATATTCTTATTACCTTGAGGTTGTTTAAAGCGTAGAGAACAGCCTATAAAAAAATAGGTAATGTGTCTGAAGTAAGCTTATGGGTGATGAGTTTGATTTTGCTGGGAAAGAGAGAAATTATGAGATGAGGTAAGGGAGGAGTTCTCACTCCTGAAAGGATTAATAGTCATCAGGGCAAGCTTCCCAACCTAAACATCCCCTGCTGTGGATGGAAAATGGTAATGTACAGTACAAAAGGTGAATTCCTCAAGGATTGAATTTCAGGCTGGAAAAATATTGACAATATTTGAATGGTCATAATGAAGATCAATGTATTCCCATCCCAACATCCTTCAGGGCTGAGGGAGCACTGTTGTCTATAGCATAACATTGTTCTAAAGTTCAGTCTCAAAAAGAGGGGGCTAGAAATAGGTAAAGATGGGTGGTTCAGGGGTGGCTGTCTCATGCAGGGGGCAACTAACTTCTTAAATTATTAAGGGAAGTAACTGGAACAAAGAATTCCAGAGCTATCTAGGCTGGCTGCTGGAGAAGGAAGACCCTGAGTTGTTGGCAGGAAGGAGATAGACCAAAACCCCTAAAAGGTGTAGTAGGTCTTAACAATCCTTTCTCTTCTTTTTCTAGCTTTGTGTTTGTTTGGTGGTGGTTTGTAGGTTTGGGGCTTTTTTGTAATCAAGATCTTAGCAGGAGATTTTTCTTATGCCAGATTATTGGTTTTTTTCCCTTGGGTTTTGGATTTTTTTTTCTTTCTTCATATTACCTGTAAGGAAACAGGTCTTTGATCTCCTGTAAATAGACTTGAGGTACTTGGTTTTTAATATAAACAAAAGAGACCATGCAGGGGAGTGCAGTGTACTTATGAAGGTAACTGAATCAAGACCTCTGGTAGCAAGCAAGGAAATGGAAATTTGGCGATTTTGTTTATGTCTGCAGATTGAAATGATTGGAATTCTCTGATCAGGGAAGTCTCTGGACTATGGGTTGTAGGAGGCCTTTCCATTTGTGATTTAAATTCTTCAGCAAGGCTGTACAGAATCATGCCTGCCATTGCCATGCTCTGGTGGGCCCCAAGTATTTTTTTCACATTTTAGCCATTTATGTGAGCTGCAGTTGTCCACTTTGGCCTACAGGCAACAGGCAGTTAGCAAGGGAAGGTTTTTACATGCATTGAAAAGCTGTAACTTCAGTGGCCTTTACCCCCAAATCAAACTGCAGTTCCTGTACCCTCCTGCTCAGCCCCTGCCCACCTGCAGATACATAACCAGGGAACTCCCAAAAGGCAGACAAATGTTGGGAAATGCCTGTGACCCCTCATCAGTCTGGTCTGTGGAGGGCAGAAGAAGAAATCCCAAAGCTTTTGCTTACAGCAGCACGTATTTGTGGGTCAACGGTTTCCAATCTCCTGGATCTGTCAATTCCTCACCAAAAAAAATGACCAGTGGCAACAGAGAACCCCACAGTAGGAGATTGAAGCCTGTGGATGATAGACTTGGTTTTCCTTTACTTTTCACAAACCTTTTAGGAGCAGTTTGTGGGATTTCCCATGGGAATCTCAAGCCAGGGATCTCTGGTCAGTGCTCTTGATGTGCCGTAGAGTCAGGGAGAGAGGCTCCAGCAGCAGGGGGTTCAGAAGGCAGTTAAACCAATTGCCAGCTGGAGAGAAGGAAAGGAGAAGAAATCTCCCTTGAGAGAAGCCAGACATGGGAGGAGAAGGCAGATAGATGGAGTCCTGAAACAGGTAGGAAACTTGCACCTTGTTCTGTCTCTCATCCTTACACAATGCCCTTACATCTTTCTTACTCTTCTGAATTCAAGCCAAGATCATAAAAAACAGTTAATGCCACATTCCACTCTGTGGAGATGAAGCAATCAGTGTGTAACAGAGGGAATAAATCCTGAAGGGACAAAGATAAGGGGAGGTTAGCTTGAGAGAGGAATCTTCAAATACAAGGTGCCTGTATCTGTCACACTTGCAGAATTCTTAACAAGCCATCCCAGAGCAGCACAGTCCTGCTGGGGTCCTGGAGGTGCAATGCAGTGGAGATGTTCCACTTGGAAAACTTCATTGTCCTGTAATAAATTTAAACAATCAGCTCCATTCCATTGATAGCATAGTTAAGTTTTATGGCATTTCCAACCAGGACAAGGGGCATCTCAAGAACTTTGTGTGAGCCTGCTGTGTTTTCAGTGGAGATTCTTTCATTCGTCTCAAGTGTACAAAATTTGGTCAACCCCAGTTGGTTAGAAAAGTAATGG